TATTTATGTCAGGCCAGTAGTTGGCGATGTCACTTTGTATAGAAACACTACGCACCTGCACACATGACTATAGACTGAACACGTAATACGCATGCGCATGACGAAACCATTTTCACAAATTTGCGTTCTGTAGTTCACACAGAAACGATAACGCCATAATTTTCAAAAGTTTGCGTTTTCAGGCCCCTAAAACGCCATTGTCGTGTAAATGAATGGCCAAAATGCATAAAAGGTTTCCATTTTAGTTGAAAATGGTGTTGCCTCCTTAGTTAACAGTAACAACACTTGCTTTAAAAATTGGAGGAAAGAAAAAAAAAGTCGTACATACAACATGAAAGAAGGCAAACATTTCATTTTTGGGTGAAATATCTCTATAAAAATGTTCTCAGCCTACATATTTTCAGTGCAGTTAGTTTTCTCTCGTTTTAATCTCAGCCTCAGTGTTGTTTCCAGTATGAAACGCACAAAAGAAAGAACAAAACGGACAGAAAAATAGTTTGGCATCTTCTAAAATATGCCTCCCTCCCTTCTCTTCCAGAGCGCCGTGGAAGGTTCTCTAAACTCATGGACAGATTAACAGTGGCATGTTTATTTTCTCTGTAAAACAGCATTTGGGTTTACAACCACCCGAGCGCTGTGGGCTCATTGTGATTGATTTAGCAGTAATAAAGAGTCTGTTTCGCTCATTTTATTACATGAGAAATTGTTTTCTTTCTTCTGGGACTGAATGGAGACGCTGATTGATTTTGCTGTGCGAGCGTGATTGCTAATTGGTCTTTTTGGTTCTGCTGTGCGATCCGTGATTGTGGGTAATGGGTCTGATTGGCTCTGTTGTAGATATGCGATTGTGGTCAATGAATCTGATTGATTGCGATTGACTAGAGTTTTCACAGGGGTCAGGGTTTTGCTCCTGCTGGTAGAGTTTGTAACTGCACCATGGTGGACTAACTAGACCAAGCTAACCAGACCGTAATCTCATTAGTTCTGTTGTATAAAATGGCTAATTAATAGAATTGTCTGTATTGCATAAGCACGATTATGACTAATGAATCTGATTGGTTGTGTTGTGTGGTTATTGGATTGTGGGTAATTGGTTTGCATGTGGAATACGGTTGCAATTTGTCTTTGAAATCATTTAGGAGTTTCCAGCCTTCCTCCATTAAACAAATGACGTCTCATTTTCCAGCTATGGTAGGGTTGAATTGATCTGACCTTTGTGTTAATGCCTGTTTTCTCATTTACAAAAGTGTAAAGACTTGTTGTTCGTTCACAATGAACTTTAGCCATGGCTAAATGAACATTCCCCAATAAAATAACTTTTATTGGTGTTCGTTTTATATCAAACCAAGCAGTTTTGTTAAACTGCAAGTGGTTTTTGGTTTTTCCATGTTTTTAAGTGCATTGTAAGATCTGATCCTATATCACTCCATCTCTTAATATGAATAGTTCACCTAAAAACGAAACAGCAGACTCATGCACTTTTCCAAGCATGCATTTTCCAATGAACTGACTGAAATTTAGGTTGTTATTGAAAAAAACCTTCTGCAAAACTTGTATTTGCATCAGTGTTGAGATGCAAATACATGGTGTGTCCAAGCGGCTTGCCATATTTGATGTCGCTGATGCCAAATGGCATTGATCCTTGCATGTCTCGTTACTAAACTGAACTGAAGAAATTACATTTTTGTGCTTTGAATAATGGAATAATGACTTGAATTTCAGTCTGTTCATCACACAAACATATGGAAGCCCATTTCTGCCACAAAAAAAAAAATTTAATTGTGACTTTTTATCTCACAATTCGGACTACTTTTGTCACAATTGCGCGTTTTCATGTTGAAATTCTGACTTTTTATTCTCGCTATTGCGAATTTACATCTTGCAATTCAGCCTTTTTTCTCAGAATTGCATGATATAACCTTGAAATTAACACATTTCTCAGAATTGTGAGATATAAACTCTCAATTGTGAGTTATAAAGTCAGAATTGCAGGATATAAACTTGCAATTGCAAGAAATAAAGTCAGATTTGTGAGATATAAACTTGCAATTCTGGCCTTTTTCCTCACAATTGTGAGTTTAAATCTCGTGATTCTGACTTATTTCTCAGAATTGTGAGATATAAATGTGCAACTGCCAGTTATGAAGTCCAATTCTGAAGAAAATAAAAAACTTTTATATCTCACAATTCTGATTCTATAACTAGCAGTTCTGACTTCCTAACTCCCAATTGTGAGTTATATCTGGTAATTATTGGAAAAAACGCCACAATTGCAAGATGTAAACTTGCAATTGTGAGAAATCAGATTTGAGAGATCGGAAGTCGCAGTTACCTTTTAAATTTTGTATTCAGTGGTGGAAACTTTCTTCCATACAAAGCTCTCATATGGACTAAAAAGATTTGAAATATTGTGCTTAAGTCATGTAGACAACTTTGATGGTTTATTTAGAAGCTTTTGGGCATCATGATCAGTCATTGCATGTAAAAAAAAATTGTATGAAGATACATCTAAATTCCTCTTTTTGTTTTGTGTGGAAGTTAGGAAGCCATTTGGAACAACTTGAGGCTGAGTAAATGATGACAGAAATTAAATTTTTTTGGTCTTCGTGACTGGGCATCTGGACAAATGGGACTCTCACTTCAAATGTTGTTGAATGCATCATTTCCCTTTATTTCACTGGCCTCAGCGTGAGATCTGATGAATGGTGTGTTTTACAATATTAGGGCTCTTAAGGAAAAGGACCAATTCGTCTTCTTTTCTGTGCAGCGGGGAGACACTTCAGTAATGAACAAGCATTCTGGGTGCCGTACTGAACTCTTAAAAGCTTTGTACTGTAAACAGCATGTGAGTAATTTAATGGCTAATGCCACCATAAAGAACGTCCACCGCTTTCCTGCAGCATCAGCAGAGAGATTCCCGCATTTGTAATGAAAACGTGAAGGACGTCTGTGGATTCTGGAGTGAAAACTAAGGTATCATCTTGATTAGATGTTGGTTCGAGTGTTGGCTGACAAGTGTTAAATGAAACTGTTGTCGTTTCTTACCAGCAGCTTTGAGGTGACTCTGTGGAAACTGGCTCGGGATTGTTGGAGCTCTAACCCTGTAATAAGCTTTAGTCTCCTGCTTTGATGGGCATCTGTTTCCCCACAGCAGTGAGACAGAACTGTACTGTGAAGACAGATTTGACTGTTCAAACCGTGTGGAATCACTTTTCTTTTTTTTCCTTTTTGTACAGCTGAAGCCAAACAGTTTTGTAGTTATTTTGATTTTGCACAACACACCCTCATGTTCAACACATAATTGCCAAAGAGCTATCAGAATTTACTGCATAATTTGATTTATGGCTGGGCGGTTTGACTTGGGCCTGTAAGAAACCACTTAATAACCACCCAGAACACACTAGCAACCCTGATACCACTCAGAAGATCCTAAGCAAATGCATAGCAATGCCCTGGCAACCACTCAGAATACCTTAACAACTGCATAACAATGCCCTGGCAAATGCTTAAAACAGCTTAGCAATTGCATAGCAACGCCCTGGAAACCACCAAGACCCCCTAGGCTAGGCAGATCTATAGTAACACCCTGGCAACCATCCAAAACACCTTAATAAGTGCATGAAAACACTCTGGCAACCAACAAAAACTCAACCACTCTGAACACCTTAGCAACTGCATAGCAATACCCAGGCAACCACTCCAAGCATCTTAGCAACTGCATAGCAACTCCCTGCCAACCACTCAAAACACCTTTGCAGTGCCCTGGAAACCATTTAAAACATCTTAGCAACTGTATAGCAACACCCTGGCAACTATCCAGAACACCTTGGCAACCCCTCAAAACACCTTAGAAACTGCATAGTAATGCCCTGGCAACCAGACAGAACACCTTAACAACTGCATAACCATGCCCTGGCAATCCCCCAGAAAATCCATAACAACTGCATAGCAACAGCCTGGAAACCACTCAGAACACCTTAGCAATGCAAAGTAACACCTTGTCAACCATCCAAAACTGCATGGAAATGATCTGGTAACCAACGAAAACACATAATAATGCCCTACATAGCAACATCCTGGCAACCACTCAAAACATGTTAGCAACTGCATAGCAACATCCTGGCAACCACTCAAAACATGTTAGCAACTGCATAGCAACACCCTGGCAACCACTCAAAAGCATCTTAGCAACTATATAGCATCACCTGGCCAACCACCCAAAACACCTTAACAATTGCATAACAACACACTGGTAACCACTCAAAACACTTTATTAGCTCCTTGGCAACCACTCTAAACACCTTAGCAACTGCATAGCAACACCCTGGCAACCATTCAAAGCATCTCAAAAACTGCATAGCAACACCCCGGCAATCACTCCAAGCATCTTAGCAACTGCACAGCAACACCTGGCCTACCACACAAAACACCTTAACATTTGCATAGCAACACCCTGGCAACCATTCAAAACACCTTAGCAACCACCCACATCAACCTAGCATCATGCTGTTGAGTTTTTCATTAACAATAACTCATTTAATCCATGATGGACTTCAAACTAGATTCTTATACTTCCTGAACAAGAAGAGTATTAAAAGATGGTCTTTTGTTAGAGTAACCATGACAACCTCATTGACCTTTATCAGGACATAATGTGTTTTTGTTGTCAGGCTAAGGCAATACGCAGCAGCAGCAGCAGCAGTTCGACTGCAGGAAATGCCAGAGCGCTGCTGAAGGAGTTTGTCTTCGGTCCCGGAGGTCAGAGCAATATGAGATGCTGAAGGCCTCATAATCACATCTGAACTGGGATCAGTTCTGCCCGTTTGTCGTCTCTCCTCCTCTGACCAGGTTTTCAGTGGAATTGTGAAATGAATTTGCTCTGCCATGCTGGATCAGCAGCTTTTCGCTTGACTGTTTCGATTTACTCGCCCAAGGCGAAAACGTGTCGGTTTTTCTCCAAATAGCGACTCAAAGCCTCTTGATTTCCTTTCTCTCAGCAGATGTGGACGAGTGCGCCGAGGCCCTGGACAGCTGCAGTATGGATGCCATCTGTCAGAACACCCTCAAGTCATACAAATGCATCTGCAAATCAGGATACAAAGGCGACGGGAAGCACTGTGAAGGTGAGCAACGCTTACTAAGATGAAGATGCAAAAACATGCAAAACAAATGAGGTCAGAATACATGCACTTGATTCTATATATTTAGAAGCAGTGTTGCGTGTAATGCATTACCAAGTAAATTAATTACTTTGCTCTTGAAAAAGTAAGGGATTACTCTTAATTTTTCTGTCATTTAATTACAGTTACTTCTTATGTAATTGCATTAAATACTGTAGACTATAGAACAATTCTACATAAAACCAGTGAATCTAGCATCAAAATTTAAGGTCTAATGCTAAATTCGTGGTCGGAAATTAACAAGGGCTTGAACAAAAAAGCCCCACAAATTTAAGATAAAGGGGCAAAAATTGCCCCTGCATAATTACACTAAATCTATTATGGCTGTTGCAATAAAAATGAAATGTGAAAAATGTCAATTTGTGGAATTACATTTAGATCAGCGTCTGTTGCATCAGATTGCTTTTTTACGCGTTGTTTTATACAGCGTTGAGCCTTCTAACCAATCACACACATTTCTGTTGAGCTTGTGAACGCGATGGCCAATCAGAGGCGTTTAGATTAGTCAGCGCTGAAAATGTGCGCTTGCGAATTCTCATCCTAAACAATGAAGTGCAGAAAAGATGTAAGTATTAAGAGATGAATTTTGTCACTTCAGTGATTATAACGGGAGTTTTTGCATAACATGCGCTAGACTAGGCATGTTTGTCCGTGTAGCCAGAATATGACATGCCGTTTCCCCAAACACAAAACCGTTAAATATTCTTAAAGGATTAGTTCACTTCCAGAATAAAAAATTCCTGATCATTTACTCACCCCCATGTCATCCAAGATGTTCATTTCTTTCTGTCTTCAGTCGAAAAATAAAATTAAGGTTTTTGAGGTAAACATAGCAGGATTTTTCTCCATATAATGGACTTCAATGGGAACCAATGGGTTGAAGGTCCAAATTGCATGACAAGCATTTGTGGTTAAAAAATATATAAATTTTATTTTTGTAAGACAATGACTGATCATTTCACTAGATAAGACTCTTATTCCTCAGCTGGGATTGTGTAGAGCCCTTTGAAGCTGCACTGAAACTGCAATTTGGACCTTCAGCCTGTTGGTCCCCATTGAATTCCATTATTTGGAGAAAAATCCTGGCATGTTTTCCTCAAAAACCTTAATTTCTTTGAAAGACATGATCATCTCGGATGGCATAGGGGTGAGTTAATGACCAGAAAATTTTTATTTCGGAAGTGAACTAATCCTTTAAAATCAAGATACATTTACTTGAGAAGAATTTCTGAAAAATGTAGCAAAATGAAGTGTTTATGCTTAAAACAAGAAAAAATATCTGCCAATGGGGTGAGATAAATAAACTTAATTTAAAAGGTAAAACAAGTTTATTTTTCTTACATCTTATAATTTTTTGCAGCATTAATTTGCAAAAACCAGCAACAGACATTATAAACAAGCAATAGACATAATAAAATGAAATACAATTTCCAAGCTGCACACTTAAAGAAATTGCATAGATTTAAAAACAAGATAAACGTGTTTGCGATCAAACTGCATAAGAGAATATCTATTTCATTTGGCTGTCAATTTAAGAAGCTAGTGCAATTAAGTATTAAATATAATGCAAAAAAAGTCTACTTCAGACAGATAGTTCAACTCAGCTGTAGGTTTTGTCTGCCACAATAATGAATTGTCTTAAATATTAACGTATGCAATTAAATCAAAGAGTTAAATGGCATATCATGTAATTAATTAGATTTGTATAAATTGATTGAAAGGACTAATTTTGGATTAAATTTACAGTATATACTGTATCTTACCCCACTGGCAAACTGTTTCTAATTTTTCAAGCCCAAATCTCGCCAAACTTGAGGTTTAAGCCATGAGAAAACAATTTGCCAGTCGAGAAAGAAAAATAAAGATCTTAATATCTTATGCTTCTCAAATATATTTATCTTGTTTGAGCATGGTCAGATATATTGTCTTGGAAACCAGACAGAATTACTGATTAAGAAGCGGTTGTTTTTGCCATGTAGTCTATAATTAGATCACTCTGGTCAATACTGTGTGTGTGTGTGTGTGTGTGTGTGTGTGTATTCAGACACTTCAAGGTGTTCTTCTCCATGTTTTATTTCTGCAGTTCCTTGGCTTCATTTTCAGATTTCCCTGAGGGAAGGGAAATAGATGTTCAAACGCAAAATTAAAAAGATGACAGACTCAATTCTTTAACCTTTGGACGTGAAATAGAGCATGAAATTTCTTACATGTTACCGATAACTTGGACTTGGCCTGGTAATTACAACACAATCCCAATCACATCAGTGCAGGGCCAGAAATGATTTTTTTCTATTTCTATTTCTGGAATTGATTTCAAGGGGCATTTTTACCTTTATAAGGGCATTTTTTTTATTATTACACCATTAAATGTATCTTCATTGTCTTTTATGTCAAATATTTAATTTTAACGCATTATTACTCCAATTAATCAAAATACTCTAGACTGTTACCTATAAAATTTTTATCAACAACAGCCATCTTTACACAGCAAGGAACTGAAGCATCTGATATGCCATTATGTGTATTTACACAGACTGTTTAATGCGGAGGTGGCAAACATGTATTTACACAACAATTGCATAATGTAATAAGCCTACAGTAAAAATAGAAATAAATTGTAAATTATAAATATATAAATTGTTAAATAAAATAAAAAAACAGGAATTCATTACAGGGTAGACCTGCAATAAAAAAAATTAAAAATCAAAAAATTATTCGCTGCTGATATAGTTATAATGATTATTAATGTTGATTAATAGAATATATACTGTAAAAATGTTTTTGTGAAACTACATGTCATATTCTGGCTACACAGACAAAACAGAAAAAGAACTGTTAATGAATTTGTTTAATGCTTTTTACAAATTAGAAAATCAAGACTTCATGGTGGTTGTTATAGTCACTGTGAACCCGAATAAGTTGGCGCAAAAAAACAAACAATTTTGAGGTAATCAGTTGCATCAAAAAAATTTTAGGTTGAATTAAACAGAACTGGCAGATTTTTATTTTACATGTTAATCGCTCTTATGAGTTAGTACGCTATCTCATACATTTAAAATTTTTACACTTAAAATTATCATATAATCTCAACTTAAATATTTTTAGTAGTGTAAACTTAACTAACCATAACTAGCTAATTCAATAAATGTTTTTATTAGCAATTGCTGAATGAGTAAGGCAATATATGCTCCACTAAGAAAATCTTCCACTTTCAGATTAAAGTGCGTCATTACGTCACGTCTGTAAACATAAAGAAGTTGTCCCGGCTGCTACAGAGATGGCGACAATGAGGCAAAACTTACGGACTGCAGCTTTAAATTTGAGGGGCATTATGTTGCTTTTAGACAGTTAATTCATCTATGTCAGTGGTTCTCAGCACACAGATGCTACAGTAACAGTACAAAGATATGGTCATTTGCATTTACGGGAAGTTTTTGCAGCTCAATTGTATTTGGAGAGGTGTATGCTGCTTTTGGACCCACTTAGCCAATGTGATCCTTTCTGGATACAAACATCCTAAGCCCAGGCAAAACACTGGAAAGTGAATGAGTTCTGGAATGTTTGCGCTGCTTTAAAACGGCACTCCTGACTGAACCGGGATCAGTCGCGTAAAGCCCTTGATATGGTGTGGAAACACAAATGTGTGCTGCGGAGATATGAGCATCGCTGTTCAAATATACTTCACCACGTGCAAAAAGACAAGCAGCAGAACCGGATCCTAATCCTCTGAAAGCTATTGCAAAACTCTTGATAGCTATTTGCTACAAATAACGGGGGCTTGGGGTAAATAACAGGCCTGAGCCTTGAGAAAGCAGTGTTCGCCTGTTTGGCTGGTCACACTTCTTAACTAGCTTAACCAGCAAGGGTTTTATATCTATTTATATTTATATTTAGGCACAATTTATAGATCTCCAAAATAATTTCATACATTTAGGCATAAAGCTTTAAATCAAATGGTTTTTTAAGATCATGAGGAACATGCATTTAGCCAAATATGTGCGAACATGTGACTGCTGTATATGTAAATAAAATAATATAAAAAATTTCTAAATACAAACTAACAATAACTATAAAATAATAATAACTTCTTGCTTTTAGCTTATTTGCAATTTGTTTAAATTGTCATGGGTGTGATAAATGAACTTTTCACACATGTAAATGCATGAAAATGACAATATACAATTTATCACACACACACACACACAGAGACAGACAGACAGACAGACAGATAGATAGATAGATAGATAGATAGATAGATGCACATACAGTATATACACATGTATACACACAATATTTTAGAATATTATATAATACTTTAATAGAATATTTTAAGGTCACCATTTCTTGATTTTAGGTCATTATTACTTTTAGCTTATGTGCAGTTCATTTAAATTATCCTGTGGTGTGACTAATGATTTTTACACAAGTTCAATGTGAAAATATTCAATTTTCACATTGAATCAAAGATATTACAAAAAGCAGCTTTAGAAAGAAATCTTTCTTTTTTCTTTTTTTTTCATTTGGGTGAACTATCCCTTTAATTGATGTGATTTTTTTTTTAAATGTAAATATGAATTTTTTTTCATGAAATTATACTCTAAGAAACTAAAACTGTCTTAATAAATGTCTTAATGAGTCATTCATTCATTCGATTTGTTCAAATGGCTGATTCATTCAAGAATGAAGTAAATGGCTCTCTTTATGAATGGGCCATTGAATCATTGCTTTACACGATTCATTCAAAATGTGGATTCATTCAGAAATTGTGTCTTGCTCGGAGACACACAACTGTCCTGCTGTGGCTTTAATAATTTTTGGCAAAATTGAGCAAAAAACAGACAACGTTGTGTCTAAAATATAACACAATATTAAGGTCTTACTTATTGAACTGTATAAAATCAATATCACATTTGCACTCGTGCTGTTTTGGACAAGAACACCACTCGTGTGATACTTCACTCGTTGCTCGTGTGATATTGCTGAACTATATTATATGATATAAATGTGAGACAAAAACTCATACAGGTGAGTTTTCCCCCCAGTCTCTTGAATTTTAGGGGCATGTAACTGCATTCTATAGGCTCCATCACGCAGTGAGTTGTTGCCCTGCATCACATTCATCATCAATCAACAGTATAGGTGTGTTGGAGTTGAAGCAGCGCTGCACAGACTGAACGTTGTATGACATCAAAGTACCACAAGAGCTATAGAGAGCAGACGGTTTGAGTAAAATACACCTATAATGAAATGTAAGGTGGGGCAAGGGGCGGGCCGGGTGCGTTAATTGTGTTTAACGTGTTATTTTTTCCCATAACTAATTAATTAGATCAACGCGTTAAATCGACGGCCCTAAATATTAATTTCAATAGGTGTGTAAAATTAATTTGTGACACTGCAGGACAATATACAAATGTTGTCTCTCAATCATAAAATGTGCATGCAAATATTATACAATAATACAATTATAAATAAATTAAATTGAAATTAATTTGTCATTTTATATGTAGTATATCTCTGATGGACGCTGTTGTCTGAATTATGTCAACCCTAAACCAACCTTAACCATAAATTGTTGGTCTTTTCAGCAAGGCCTATCCATGCAGACATTTCTAGATGTTTTCAGGTTCATTTTGCATCGTTCAATCTATATGTACACAGTAAACTCCATCATCTGAGTCTTAATAGGCTATTTATTATGTCTCTTGGATGCAGAATGAACGTTTTTTCCACATCTCAACCTTAAAACGAATGACCCGTAAACAATATGACCATAATGAATAGTGCAAAACGCTTTTTTCCTCCACTTCTCGAAATTGCCTGTGCTGTAGATCGTTCGGCCTCATATGGAGATGCATTAGCCGAGGTGAAATAGCTTGTAATTCGATGGAGTGAAGCTGGTGCAGAACCGAAATACAAAAGCAAAAGTGCAAAGACTTTGTACTGTGTTGGAGGTGGGATAAAAAGCATTCAGGAATAAAGACAAATAAAGCGCTGTACTCCAGACAGCGAGCGTCTCTCTCCATACTCACTGAGCCCAGATGACTACAAAGCAGAGCAGAGGAGTCTGGGTAATTACTGCTCAATTGGGCGTCAAATGAGAGGGGATGGCCTGCGTCCCCGTCCACAGACATCCACTTCTCTCTCCGGCTTGTAGATGTTTATTCAGCTGCTCTCGCCATCCAAGCATAAGGCATAATTCACTATAATCACCACAGTTACCGGCACACAGAAGCTCATATTGAGCAAAATAAATTAATTAGGAACAAATTAAAGATGGATTTTAAAGAGTCAAGGTTTCATCAGTAAAAAGGTCATAATTTACTTTTTTAAGGCCCTTAGAAACAAACCTGTTTTGCTGCTGTACCTTTAAGACTTATGTAAATGACCTGCATGTGATTGGCTAACCTCCATGTCCATTTGAATGCTGATTATGTGTTAATATGTAAAAGTGGGTGGTCATATGTTAAAGAGCTGTTGGTTGTGTTTATAACTGACCATTTCTACTTTTTAAGTTGGTTTTTCGTAAATATTCTGCTTGAACTGGGGTGAAATCTTTACACTGTGAATATTTATTTTTCATATATTATATAAAATATATTTTTTGAAATAATGGAATGTGAAATGTTTTATTATATATAATTTTATAAATTATATATATTTATACAACAGTTCTTTCTGCTTCTCGAATCTGATTGGCTAAGAGCCTTTTCTAGAGGTGCGATATTAGTGATATCGGGACTCCAACCGTTTCACCGTTTGTATCACTCCACTTGCAGTATTTCACAGCGAGTGTCATGGCGAATCCACTATAATTTTATAAGTTAAACAGTTTTTGTGTCACGGAATGTAGTTTTAAGAATTTTTTAGGCGAGAATGTACTTGTTTAGACTTCAAGTATGCGGTTCGTTAATAAAGATAACGTCTATCTGAAAATGTGCTTCGACGTTTTCGGAGATGTGAGCTCCAGGGTGTCAGCGGCCGTTCAGCGCTCATGAACCCGCCGAGAGCAGCCTCACCTCGGCCAGATCTTCTGGAATTTGCCACTGGCTCTGATGTCTCTATAGTGGTTAAACATGAGAAACGGTGTGTGTGTTTGTGATGGTGATTTTATTGACATTGTTCCGCCATTAGATGGACTGTTTTTCTGAGTGAGTCCGCAGTAAAGACTTTTATATTGAAAGAGACTGAAACAGGGTTGTAAACAAGGAAGTTCTTTTTTACTTTCAACAACATTCAGATGCAGGTAATCACACTCGCTCAGTCCATCTCTCTCTCATAATACTCTACATAATACAGTGAGCTTTTAATACAGTGATACAATAAGCTTTCAATGGAGCAGCTCAACATTCCTTTGTTTCTAGTTCTAAAGTGACGTTTTTCGAATTAGTAACGGATCTTGAGTTCAGCTGTTAATCTGTCAAACTGAAATTTGAATCTGTGGCGGAAGGAAGTAGTTCTGCACTAAAAAAGGGTTTTTAAAGACACTCCATTGTTGTCTCTCTTTTTATTTATGTACTTGTTCCGTCGAACTGTTGTATAAACGCAATATCACACTCGTAGCCGTGCGATATAGGTGTATATCGGCACGCTGTGATTACATCCAGCCTTGTGCTGCTACTTGTTTGATATTGCTCATATATATATATATATATATATATATATATATGTATGTTTGTGTGTGTGTGTGTGTGTGTTTATGTATGTATAATATGTTTATGTATTTTTACGATTGATAAAATGTGATATTTGTACATGGAATATATATGAAAATATTAAATATTACTAAATGTTAAAATGTTATTAATTATTAAATTAATTTAAAAATATATAATTGTCTGATTATAATTGTATCTATTAATATTTAAAATGTATATATACACCAGCATTCAAAAGTTTGGAGTTGGTAAGATTTTGTTAATATCTGCTCGCCAAGGCTGAATTTATTTGATCAAAAATCAGTAATATTATGAAATATTCAAGAAACATTTCTGATTATTATCATTATGAAAAAAAGTTGTGCTGCTTCATATTTTTGTGGAAACTGTAAGACATTTGATTTTTTTGCTGAATAGAAGGTTAAAAAATAACAGCATTTATTTGAAATACAAATCTTTTGTAATATCATAAATGTCTTTACTGTCACTTTTGATCAATTTAATGCATCCTTGCTGAATAAAAGTATGAAGAAGACCCCAAACTTTTTGGTGTCAAAAGAGCCATGATTTTCTCTGATATAAGCTGTTTAACGTTTAATGTGATCGTTCTTGCAGATATCGATGAGTGTGCCAGTGAATATAATGGAGGATGTGTTCACGAGTGCATCAACATCCCGGGAAACTACAGATGCACGTGCTACGACGGCTTTCGTTTGGCCCACGATGGACACAACTGTCTGGGTAAGCCATGGTTTCTTTACATTTGGGACAAAGTAAGCATCAAAACAAAACCTGCTAGTGTGTCAGTAAGTGTGTGTGATGATCTGCGTCCTCTCAGGACTTCATCCCACTCAAGGCAAACAAACATTATTGCTGGAACCCAACTTATATGGTTGATATTCAGGCATATCTAATCAAACTCCGCACCGACCGCGACTGAGGCCCAAAACGCCGTCACTCTATCGTCCGTGTCAAAATGAAGCGGTTGCGCGGTTAACCCATTGAAGAGAGTGATAAATCCGTCAGATTTGAGCTTGGACTGCTGAGCACACAGTTCTGTGGTGTTAATTGTATTTTCAGAATGCGTGAGCTCACATTTTTGACATTCGGTGGCTCGTATGCCCAGCCGTTCCAGGTCAGTTAAATCAGTCTGAGGGGAATGTGTGTGTACACGGGTGCGTTTGTGCGGGAGATTTACATCGGGTTACAGTCTTATACTGACCGTGGCGCTTTAACTGAAAACAGATGTCCGGCGTATCGAACAATCAGCCCAATGAAGTTGTGTGGGTTATGTGGGTTTTACTCACAACATTTGATTTGAAAGTTTGAATCAAATTTAAATGGAATTTAGCACGTCACACAGGATGTTGCATTGGAACAGTTTACAGTTCAAAAAAATTCAGAACAACAGAGGAAATTTTATTAGACCAACATGTGTTGTGACAAACCATAAATTAATTTTGTAAATTTTTTTTGTAATTTGTATTCTCAAAACACAAAAAGTCAAAATGAGTGATGTGATTATTAAGGTTTTGTCTCAAAATGTGAACATTTAAAATGGTCTGTTTTGAATTTCTTTTCATTTATTTTTTGGAAATAAATTGCCATGATTTATTGAATACTTTTCTCAATGAAACTTTCTCAGTGAACAGTGTCATCCCATTTTAAGATTCCACATGTTTAGATAACTTTTATAGAAATAAATATTAATATTAAACTCATATTTGGGAATATTAAATATATTCCAGTAAAATTTGGGATAGCTTAGAGTATTAAGGCTCAATAAAATTATTATTGAATAATTTTATACATTTAGTTAAATGAATGAAACTTTCTCAGTGAACAGTGTCATCCCATTTTAAGATTCCACATGTTTAGATAACTTTTATAGAAATAAATATTAATATTAAACTCATATTTGGGACAAATATTAAATATATTCCAGTAAAATTTGGGATAGCTTAGAGTATTAAGGCTCAATAAAATTATTATTGAATAATTTTATACATTTAGTTAAATGAAATATAAATTAATTGATATTATATAAAATTATAATATTATATAAAATTATAAAGTAATGAATGTGAAATATTTTATTTAAAGGTGCCATAGAATGCATTGATACAATATTTCAAATTGTTCTCTGATATCTACATAGAAGTTATGTGGCTTAGGTAAGGGCAAAAAATCTCCACAAACGGTTTTACATGTACATTTACAACCCTAGGATTTGTCCCTAAAATGAAATGGTCTGTTATTACCTTATTTGGAAGGGTCATGAATAATAATGTTGAGCTCTGCTCTGATTGGCTGTTTCACAGTGCGGCTCAACGTTGAGCTCTGCTCTGATTGGCTGTTTCACAGTGTGGCTCATTTCAGTAGCTCACACAGCAGGAAGGAAACACCGGGAAAATATATATTTCAATACTGTCTCTCGCAGTTATATCGTTGGGTAATTATTCTGTATATAAAATGCGGGCATCAGGGAGCCGCTATTAATATATTCGAATGCACGATCGCTTTTTACTTTCACTTTCGAGATTTGCGATCGCACGTGCTCTGTGTAAACTACAGCGGCAGTACTTACCACACATTTTACAAGATCAGATGCTTGTCAGTGGTGCTCAGGATATGTAAATCATTCGCCATCATCCTCAGTCATCTCTCCTGACTCTGTTTATGTGGTAAGTGAAATCTTATGTACTGTAATGTAACAGGCTACCGCTAGCAAGCAGCTAACCATGTCCCTTTAGTGGCTCGCGTTATTTGTTTTCCGTGCCTTTCTGAATACAGACACCAACCCATCCCTGCACATCACATCCCCTGCA